GGTACATATAAATGATACAAGCATATAGACTTTCATTTGCAAATCAATCTAAAAAATGATAAATGTTGCCTGTTGCTTGTCAGATGCAAACAGAGCCTGTTGGATTCTCTGAGCCAGTGAAAATGTGGTGTTGAGGATGAGACAAGCAAGGCCATGAGAGATACTGCAGTCTTTTCAGCTTCTTAATTATTTTCCATGTCAACAGCTCCCTACAAGTCTGTTGCTGGCTTTCTACTAGATTAGCAAATGTTTGTTTGTCCTTAATGTGCAGGTTTAATTTATGCCATACCCCTTTCTAAAAGGATTCTGCCTTTTCTTGGTCATTTTAATATATCTTTCCCTTTTGGACTTAATTCATTCCTGCAATTATCCATTACCAAGCAACCCTGATATTGTTCCTTTAAGATCATAAAAATATGATTTACATTTTGTAATATTCTACAAAATTATCAAATTTTTGTCACGTATTTCTAAGTTAAATCTGTTTCATTTTTCATATTTTGAAGGGTTTTGTTAAGAAGTTTTTCTCCCAATCAAAAGATATATTTTCATGAGATAATATAATTTGACCCTGAGGTTGAATGACATGGGAATACTCATCGTAGGCTGTTTTAAAAAGTATCCATTTTCCGACATAGTCACACTCATCTTGATCCTCTCACTATTTCATGCCATACAAATGCATGCATTACTGTCTGTATTTCTACACTGGAGGAAACTTGGGCTCGGAGAGGCTCAGTGACTCCCCTTGATTCACCCAACTGATTAGATACAGATCTGGAGCCCAAATTATGTCTTCTTATTTCAGGTTATTTGGGCAAAATTTACTCAAGAAATAGCAGTAGAATTACTACTTTTGATGCAATCTATTTTTACTTCAAACTGTTGAACATGATACATCCACACTCATAATGCCACCTTTCATTTGCAGAACCTGATGGTGAGCCATGCTCTCTAGCTTCTACATAGGGCTTGCTCATGTAAATGGTGGTGCTAGTGTGAAGATGCCTACACAGAAGCAGGGGATATCAGAGGTCTAGTGTCCTCTCCAGTGGTCCCGTCTTCCCACCCCTCTGAGCCCCTGGAGCTTAAACCTCCCTCATTGCCACAGGACTGAACCCTCCTTCCCTCTCCCCTCCTACCACCAGTGCCACAGCAGAATGGCCAGGAGTGAGCAGGCGATGGAAGTTTTATGACCAAAGGTAGCTCTTGTACAACGGCTGTCCCTGGCCTGGTCCTACATCAGTTTGCAGGTTCTCCCCTGTCCTCCAGGGCTCCTGGACATGCAGGAGGTGTGGCCCTCACAGAGCACCCTCCAGAGTCACAACCTTTCTTAGCCTGCAGTCCGACCATTCATGTTCCAGATGTTCCATTAATTTCAGATTCACATTACAGATGAAAATTACCAGTGCCTTAGCTCTCTAGACCCAAATGTTGTCTTGTGAAGAGAAATAGGAAAAGTAAAATGATATGACAGCATTGTAAGGTGGACATTGCTGAAACCAGTTTGGCTCAGTGGATAGAGCGTCTACCTGCGGACTGGAGGGTCCCGGGTTCAATTCTGGACAAGGGCATGTACCTTGGTTGTGGGCACATCTCCAGTGGAGGGTGTGCAAGAGGCAGCTAATCGATGATTCTCTCTCATCGATGTTTCTAACCCTCTATCGCTCTCTCTTCCTCTCTGTGAAAAATCAATTAAAAAAAAAAAGGCAAGGTGGACATTGGATGAGGTAAGCCTTGTTGAGAAAATTGATCATAAAGTGCTCTGTAGACACAGGTATTATATCTGCATGACCTCTGCCTGCAATGGTGGGGAACTCTTTGCTGCAGTGGGTCTGGCCTGTAGGGTCTGCTTTCCTTTTCTCTCTGGCCACCATGTTTCACTGCACCTTGTCATGGTGTAGTTCTGAACCCTCATCTCAGTCAAGGTGAGGCTCTCAGAATTGTTCTTCATTGCCCTGAACATCTGTGACATTTTGGATAAAGTCACTTTCTCCAGCATTTTTCCTTGCTATGATAACATCTTTTCAGTTCCTGTCAAAAATACAAATGCTTACTGATGGTATTCTGAGCTCAGAATGCTGAGGACTTATTGTCAAACAGACCATAATGGTGAAAGAAACTACTGCTAAAGAAAAGTACATTTTCTTTGGATCAGCAAATATCTTCACCACCTCGTGAACTTTTGCAGCATATTCCCAGAAGAGGTTGTGTGAGATTTTTTTTTCTCTTGGAATTACCCGGAATAAAATAGGTTTTGTTCATATAGGCCTTACTTGAGGCTGAATGGTAGAAAACATGAATTCCTGAACTTGCACCTTTCACCTTTTATTCCCTGTCTCCCTTCTTTCTCCTAAATCTCTCTGTTGCTCTTGCCAATAACTGTGCCCACCCGTGAGCAATTGAAAGGATCACAATGGATAGAAAGGAGTATAAACAAGGCTCCTTTTAGAAAGTCCTATCTCATTCAGTGCTGTGCATAATGCTTATGTATGCAAATGGGTTTGCACAAATGTTTCCACAGGGAAACACTGTGAACTTATAGTTTTATCAAGAACATGCTAATAAAAAATATATTGTTCAAATATTTAATAATTCTATTATATTTTTTCTTACTGTCAGCATATAGTTATAGTGATATCCACAAAGATAGACTTTATTGTAAGATCCATGTCCCTTGGCCATTGATTTCTGATTCATTGTATGCTATTAAAAATGTCCTAATGCCCAATAAATGCTTTTACTAAGAGGATTTTCACATACGCCCTCAGATCATATGGCCACTTAAAGGGTCAGCAGGTGCTTTCATTGCACACCCTTAGATGTTTTCAGGGGCTTAGAATAAAGAAAAGTGATAAAATTACATTTCTAACTACTAGCAATGGATAACACACTTATTTATAAAACATTTAGGTGTAGTAACTCTTGAACAACCCAGATTTGAAATGTATGTGTCCACTTATATGCAGCTTTTTTCATCTTGTAAACAGACAACATAAACTTATGGTATTGATAAAGGCAATACTGTAAATGTATTTTCTGATTTTCTTCATATTTCTTCTCTGGCTTATTTTATTGTAAGAATACAATATATGATACAGGAAAACATGCAAAATATGTGTCAATCATGTATGTTATTTGTAAGGCTTCTGGTCAGCATTAGGTTAGAAGTAGTTAAATTTTGGGAAGTCAGAAGTTACACAGGAATTTTTGACTGTATGAGGGTTAGTGCCTCTGACCCACGGGTTGTTCAATGGTCAATTGCAAAGACTGTTTCCTTGCTTTTAGACTTGAAAGTTTTTGGCACTATTTCTAAAACTTCCAAGTAGTAGCAAGAGTTGACAGCAGGAACACATGGATTATCATACTTAAAATATATTTTTGGAAAATGTCAAAATGAGATAATATTCAGTGTGATGTTGGCATGTGATCAGTGAGATGCAATGAACATAATTATGCAAAGCAGTTATTTTGGACCTATCATTCATCTGCATGCGATCTGAATCAGGATTGAAATAATTACTAGCAAAGGGAAAGGTAAGGAACTTGCCTTTCCTCAAAACAGTGATTTTAATTATCACTAAATTCATAGAAGTCTTAGCACTGCACCAATCATCCAGAAATCCTGTTTCCTGTTTGTTTATTTGATTGTTATTTTGACAGCACCCCGTGTAAAATATATATTAGGAAAACATTTATTGCCAATTTAAAAACATTTGAGGGGCTTTTTTCTCAAATATACTAGATAAGAATATTGAAATCATTTTGGTTAAGGGATCCTCAGGAAGCAGGTTTTAAGGTGGGCCCCAGTGAAGGGTTTGGACCAGAGGAACAGAGGTAAAGCTGCCCACAAGCACCTACAAAATCAAGGAATTGCAACACCCTGTTGCTGTAGGTTTGAGTGGGGAGCTCAGAGCTGGGGCTATTCAAAGGCAGTTGACAGTTAAACCTCAGGATGCCCTGTGGGCATTAGCTTTGGAGACTTAGGGAATGGTCTTTCCTAACATCAGCTGCAGCCTCATTTGGCTCCTGTGTGCTTTCTGCTCACCTCATTAGAGAAGCCATTTATCCTGGAAGCCCCACACCCTTCATTGTCCTTCCATGTCCTTTACTTCATCTGCCTCAATGGAGATGATCCTCCTGGCACTGTTGCTGTGATTCTGACCGGACCTTGACCGAAATACTGGCTCTCAATCAGCGTCCTCCTTACCTTGTGTCAACTCAACTGCTTAGCCCTCATAAAACTTTATTTCCCCATGTGCAGAGGTTCACAGCATGGCTCTCAAGTCACACCACTCCCCATACAACGCAAGGAAATGAAACATACAGTGACTTATAACTATTATAAGGCGAGTAATGTGTAGCCTCGATTTATAAATTAAACCAGCTATTTGTATCTTCTTCAGAGCAGGGTGCACTAAGCTTCAATTTAGAGGGTAAGGATAAAGCAATATATAACTTAAAAACGTTCTTTAAAAAATCTGCCCTCAGAGACTTCGGTTGTTGTAAGTCTAAACGTTTTGGTTCATTCGTTGTCCAGGGAAAAACTGCTGATGGGAACAAATTCGGGCTCACTTTTCAGAAACAACATAAAGATGGCTTGCCATCCTGGCTTATTCAGTGGATCATGAGTTTAATAACTTGTTGCAAAATTTAAGGTGCAAGGGCTATGGGATGATCAGAGGGTTTTAGGTTTGACTGTCTGCCTGATCCCGTTAGTAAGGAAAACAAGCAACATTCGATAGACTGAGAAAATGGATGTTTCAGTGGCCTTGGTTCCGTGTGGATTTATCTCAGCTTCGTTATCCTCAGAGGGCGATGAGGTTGGGGAGCAAAGCTAGGCAGCTGGGTGATGCCGATAAGCTGATTAACTTGACGTATTTCTGCCATTTCATGTCATTCATTTGATATTCTGCAGATTTCAACATTTTTGTTAAAAAAATATCAAACATGCCTTTGATACTGGTCAGGTCTTCATGCCTGCTGTTATTTTATTCCAGCCGGGTCCCGGGCCTCGTACAGCAGCCAGCACGGCCACCTGGGCCCGGAGCTGCGGGCCCTGCAGTCCCCGGAGCACCACATAGACCCCATCTATGAAGACCGCGTCTATCAGAAGCCCCCTATGAGGAGTCTCAGCCAGAGCCAGGGGGACCCTCTGCCGCCAGCACACTCCGGCACCTACCGCACGAGCACAGGTGTGTATTCAGGACCCACCCCGAGCCCTGTCCAGGGTGGGCGGGCATGCTTGGGAGCCCCACCACCCTCCCTCATGAAAGGAGTGTGTGTGTGTGTGTGTGTCCTCTCTCCCTACAAGCTTTGTGACCTGCTTCTGTGATGGTGATGATGGAAACCAAACCTCCCTAAGTATGTTGTGAATGAAAGACATACCATGGAGGGTGTAAGCTTATTTTGTCAAACAGGCAACTGAAGGAATTAGGAGTAATTCCTTATTCATCCTTACCAATTAGGAGTAATTCCTTATTCATCCTTACCAATATATTTAATGAGTATAAGTCCTCCAGAAAGCACGGTCATTATATGGGATGTCAAAGGCATATACCTAATTCTGGTAAGTATTTTTTAAATGATGTAGTCTACCTACTTGGCAAGCTTGGGGGAAAAACATATTGACTACAAAATGCAGCATACTTTGTAAGGCAAACTGAGAATTTATTTTGTACGCACTATTAGGTTGAATTATATGAAATTATTATTTAAAGATTGGATGTTGGCCATTGCTTGCAGTTCCATCAACTGTATAACTTTCCCGGATTAAATCTATATTTTGAATTGAATACCAGCAGAGGCCACATGAAGAAAGACACGTGTTTTCCCAGAATGTGCAGCCATTGGCAAAATAAAAATGGTCAAATGTCATGACTCTGTGTGCCAGAGAACACTTAACTACAAAATGGATATAATTAAGATGTTGAGGGTTGCAATTATTATAAAGCTGAGTATTGCTAAGTAATCTCAGAAAATTTTCTGTAGACTCTTTGCAGAGAGCAGTGCTCTCTCCTTCCTTCCTAACTCTTCACATTGGCCTGGACAGGGGCTGAGGCTGGGAAAGCGAAGCTCTAGTCTACACCTGGGCTCACAGGGCTCTGCCTCTTGAGATGGTCGTTCCTCTAGTCACCACCGCATAGAGCGCAGCAATTTTGTTAAACTGCATTATGATACTAAATTGCACATTTTGAAATCCAGTCAAGCTAAGTTGCTTTTATAGTTGATTATTGGTATTTACATTTCCGTTTTCTACGGCACCATAGGCAACGGGACAAATTACTCTTGATTTTATGTTTGACGTCGTAAATGCCATCCAGTGTTAATAATACCTATCTTGTGTAGATGAAAAAAATACCCATTTATTCTTCTGTCAGAATCTCTCTCATCATCAACCTGCTAAACCCACACCCGTCTGAGGTTGGGCTGGTTTAATGTTTAGTTTGTTGCATGTTATTAAGGTAATTTTATATAAGATGGAGATAACCTCAGAGATGTTCAGTATCTAATTTTAAAAATATATATTGATTTTTTACAGAGAGGAAGAGAGGGATAGAGAGTTAGAAACATTGATGAGAGAGAAACATCGATCAGCTGCCTCCTGCACTCCCCCTACTGGGGATGTCCCGGCAACCAAGGTACATGCCCTTGACTGGAATGGAACCTGAGACCTTTCAGTCCTCAGGCCGACGCTCTATCCACTGAGCCAAACCGGTTTCAGCTTCAGTATCTAATCTGAATAAACACAGACAACCAAAGGGATTATGTTCCTTCTCAGTTCTGTATTCATAAGCTCTTAGAACGATCTCATTAATAAACTTCTGGGGAGTTAATGAAAAATTAGCTATAGTAAGAAATCAATACTTCATGCATGCTTGCCAGATTAAAGACAAAGAAAGATGCTTGCACTTTAAAAAAAAATAAATGGGACTGTAGAGTTTCTTCTAAGGCAGAGGTCCTGGGCCAGACACAGCTGGCCATCTGTTTCAGGAGCCCTCATGAGCTCAGTCCCATATACTTCAGGGAGTGCACATTTTTAAATGGCTTACAATCAAAAGGTAGAATCTGTTTTGTGGGTTTTTCATCCATGTCCATCCTTGGTCATTCAGGGCAACGGCTGTGCTCCCTACCACCTCAGGTCCCAACATCACTCTTGGCTGAGAGTCCCTGGACCTCCTTTGCCCCAAATGCCACAAAGGCTTTCTAGAATAGCAGACAGTTCTGTAGCTGAGAGATACTCAAGATGACTATACAGCAAAAAATCAGAAAAACAATTATAGATGTTGAAGGTGAGATGTTAAAGCTCCCTAAACTTCTCACCAAAGGGGATTTCTCAGCATTGCCCCTTGGGCTCAACCTCCCAGCATCTTTTCTCATCTGTCCTCTTGGTCTTCCTCCTCCATCTATCCTGTTTGATTGCCACACTAAGCCACTCACCCCTGTGACTTTATTATAAAGGCTAATGCAAATCTCAGACATCAACTCAGATGAGAAGCACAGACTACCTTTGGGTATTCAAAAAAAACTTATCTAGGCTTTCCTAAAATAAATCTCCCTAATGATAGAGATTTACCTAGGAGTATTTATATTCATTTAAATACATGTTAAAGGATCAGGGCAAGTAAATCCTATTTCTCTCCTCTCTTTTGCTCCAGGCTTGTGGATGGTAAAACATACAAATAAGTTCACTGTTCACATGGAAAATTAATAAGATTTTATTTAACTAAGCAGGCACAGCTATGCCAGAGAACATGGTCTAAAGAGGGTTTTCCTTCTCCACCCACTCCCAGACCTCACTGAGATAGATCAGGCTCAGACACCCCAGCCACTGCAAGACAAGAACCACAGACCTCTTGCCCACCTGGGCCAGCAGAAGAGTGCGGGCTCTCATGTGGCCCGCTAGCCTACTTGGGCCCTAGTTCTCTTACTATGGAGGCAGAGAGAAAGTTAAGACAGAAGTCAGCCTCACAGCCCCAGAGAAGGTAAAATCCTCTTATTCAGATAAAAATTACTGAATCTGCAGTGGTTCATGGTCAAGAGGGCTCCCCCAAGGGTGCCATCTCACCAGTAAATGAGGGGAGAGAGACAGAAGCAGAGGCAGGCTGCCATTCATGCCTTCTCCCAGGGCAGGGAGGCACAATAGTGTGTACAGCAGCAGGAAAAACAGGCCTATGAGGAAGACTATGGTGTAAACAAGCCCACCTACTTTTCCAGGACAACCGATCTAACATCCTGCACCAAGAAAATTTAAAGAGGCATACTCTTAACTAGGGTTTCTGTGAAAATAAAACATACCTTTCATCTGGGAAAAAGGCTTCTAAAAACCAGAGTTTGTTCAATAGACACAGCCAGTCAAGGAATATGTGAGCCTCATGAATTTGCTTATGCTGAAGTCTATTAAGTAGAAACTAAGTAATACAAATTTGTATTTCAAACTCAAGACACATCGATGACTGTCAACTTGGGAGTCATTTGATTAACACAAACTCTTGCCTCTGACAATCCCGCGAACACATCTCTCTAGACTAGTGAGAATGGCCAACATCTGCATCAGTGATGGACACTTGAATTTCCCGGTAGATAAATGTGATTCTAAGAGAGTGGAGAAATCGAGCTTTCGGTAATGGAAGTGTCAGCTTATAATAAAGAATGAATTATCACAGACACATTGCAAGGGGAAAACATGCCGAATATTCTTATGAGGATGACAAGTATTGCAACATAAAAAAGAAAAAAGAATATGGTGAAAGCCTGACCAGTGTGGCTCAATGGTGGAGCACCGACCATGAACCCGGAGGTCAGGGGTCGATTCCCAGTCAGGGCACATGACCAGGTTGTGGGCTGGACCCCCCGTGTGGGGCATGCAGGAAGCAGCTGATCTGCGATTCTCTCTCATCATTGATGTTTTTGTTTCTCTCTCCTCCCTTCCTCTCTGAAATCAATAAAATGATTTTTAAAATAAAAGAATGTGGTAAAAATATTTGCACATGTTGGCAAAATATTTTTAAAAATCTTAATTCTATGCAATACCAGCCAGTGCTTAGTAAAGTTATAGAAGGATTACATAGAGCCTTCATATTCATAAATTTTATGTTTATTCTCCAATGATACATAAATAACATTCTCAGTTAAAATTACCACTTGAGTCCAGAAAACTATGGGTTATTTGCAGTTTATTGTTTGTGAATGCTGTTACTTCAAACAGTAAAATTGTTTACTTCCCATTAGAGCAAGTCAAATAATTTATTAGTTTAAAATTTTACTATTTTTTGATCTAAGAAGACAGGGGCACATTATCACCCAAATGGAAATGTTTAATAAGCTCAATGATAAATAGTGTCTTAAAGCTAGGAAGAGCTTCCAGATGCTTACCTATATCAACTCATTTTATATATAAAATGATATAAGTAAAAAATCTAATTACAGCTGAAAGAAGACAGTGTTTGCTAGTAGAACAGTTCGTGGAAAAATTCAGAAACATCAACTCCAGTAATAATGATTCCACACTACTAAAAATTCTGCATTAAATGCCACTTTCCACAAATGTAACAATATCTGACATTAAAAGATTATCTTTAATTTATCTTGCATATTTTCCATTGCATTTGGCATGGATCAGCCTGTGCAGAGTGCAGAAAATTGAAAGACCTTTAGGATTAATTCTAAATGATAACCTATTGGAAATGTCATTGCTTGGATGCTAAAGGTTCCTCATCCCTAAAGTAACAGAAGTAAACTCTCTTGAAGTAGGACTATATCCCAAGAAACCAGAAACACCAATCAGAAAGGACATATGCACCCGTATGTTCATAGCAGCACAATTCACTATAGCTAAGATTTGGAAACAGCCTAAGTGCCCATCAGCAGATGAGTAGATTAAAAAGCTGTGGTACATCTATACAACGGAATATATGCCACTATTAAAAAGAAGGAACTTTTATCATTTGCAACAGCATGGATGGAATTGGAGAGCATTATGCTAAGTGAAATAAGACAGTCAGAGAAAGATAAATATCACATGATCTCACTCATATGTGGGATATAATGATCAATATAATTTGATGAACAAGAATAGATCCCTCTAGGGCACAGCTAGACTCCTCAGGGTTATGCCATGTGACACCAAACTCTCAGCATGAATCTGATGTCCTGTAGATTTTATATTACGGATGTGGACAGGGCTCCAGGAAACAGATCAGGTGGGCCAGTGGCCCAGGTTCCTAGTGCTCTACATGGTCTCTGGGCTTACACTTTATCAGGTGTGTGGAGGGCTCAAAGAAAATACTGCTCTGAATAACTTTTGAGTCATCTAACTGATTACTGATGGTAGATTCTCTAATCTCACATAACTGGAACACATACATGAAAATTTTTCATCCTATAATACCCACAAGATTACTCATATATTCTGCTTTAGCATCACCCGTTAGCTTTGACATCTAAGGGGCCTTGAAATTCATTTCTAAGGAAAACTGAAGAGAGCAGAGATGAGCATTTGAGTACATACTAGTAAAGTGGAGCAAAGCAAAGCAATTTGGAATTTATGTTGTGTGTTTTTTAATGTCCTACTTTAGTCATTTTCCCAATGCACAATCTTTACTTTTTGTGTTTTTTTTTCCCCTGACCATTATCCTGAAGAGCTCCAAAGAGATAAGAAAAATGTAACAAAGCCCTAGTGGAGAAAATTTATTTCTATGTGAATATTCTTTTGTATCTTAAATTTTGCACTGTATACATGAAATTTGAATAATAATCCATTCAAAAATTAAAAAAAATAAATAAATAAATAAATAAAACGCCGGAGAGAAAAAAAAAAAAAAAAAAAAAAAGAATAGATCCAGAGACAGGGGAGGTGGAGGTTAGAGAGCAACTAAAGGACTTGTATGCGTGCATATTAGCATAACAAACGTACACAGACACTGGGGCAAATGAACACAGACACTGGGGCGGTGGGGACTTGCCCTGAGTGGGAATGGTGGGGGGAAGGGGGAGGGCAAGGTCAGTTGGGGAAAAAGGGGACATATGTAAAACTTTAGATAATAAAAAAGGGTATGTAGGCCTTGTTCTTGGACTCACTGCCACCTAAGCTATCTTTATTTTCTGAACATGCAGAGGGGATTCATTAATTAGCTTACTGCATGCTATGTATGTAACATATGTAAATGTGGTTTTTTATGTTTTCATATTTCTGTATCTAGAGACCCACCCTTTTTATTCTGTTCTTCCCCCCCCCCCCCGTTGTCAGTAAATAATACACGTAACCACCTATCATTATTAAAGTACCAGGAGAATGTTTGATTTTATTAAAAAGAATCTCTCCTCACCTCCTTCAAATATAATGTGTAAAACATCTCTCTTTTTACACACTAGACCTTTCTTTGTGTAGCTCCATGGAGAGCAGATAATTTCATGAACAACATAGATGTTGGGTGAAGTACCAAGCAACCTGCTGAAGAGGTGAATTCTAAAATCTCCTCAGAGAGACCAGTAGGATGGTTCATTGAGTTCCAAGAGCTCATTGAGGGGGAAGGGGCTGTTGGCAGGGCAGGGGAGAGGAGGAGTGCTTACAGACCTGATGAAGCACCTTCCACTTCAAGTGTTTGCCACAAGAAGGTTCAATTGAACAGAGTTATCCTACCAGGTGGGTGATTTGGTCACCTGAGCTCTAAAATTTAAGTAAGGAAAATGTGTAACAGGACAGGAATTAAGGGAAATACTATATTCAAAGAAAGTCTTCTCATAGTGTGACCAACATGCGTTTATCCATGTGAATAGAGAGCCGTGGTTTGCATAAGCCACCCTAAGTCTGCCTGAAAGAAAGGGAGAACTGAATCTTTATGTGTTGAAGACCTTTTTTTTTAATGCCATGCTTAAAAACATGAGGCAGTACAAGGTGGCATTACTGATGGCTAGTTAGAGACCTGTTAGATTCTCACATGTTGTTGTTTTCTTTTTTCTATATAGTCCTATAACCTCTTATTAAGATAGTGTATTTTCTTCACATTTGTATTGGTATTTTACATTATTTTACATCAGTTTCTAATTTATTTCATTTTGGAGTTACGAACTTGAATTCTGATTTTATATTTATAAATTCTCACCACTATCATATTTATGGTGACCTAACAGACATAAAACAGATTTTTCTGGTTGTAAACTTCATGTTTATTAGTCTAATCTGATCATTATGAAACTTAATCCATCAGAGCAACCCTCGTTTCAAAAGATAGCTCTTCTGGAAATGTACATATCTTTTGTTTAGAAAGTTGTTCTTAAATATTTTTGTAGTTTTCACTGGTTCCTGTTCCCATAATTTTGGTCATTATAAGATTAAGTATTAGAAGCTCATTGGAAATAAGAAGCACTGATCTCTTAGTTAAAAATCAGTTTTCAGTATTAGAATATGTTCCTCCAGTTCACTGTGTCATTTACACATGGTTTCCTTAACTTCTTTTAACAGTTGTTTTCTCGATATGACATAATTTTTTTTTGTGTTTGATAAGGCTTATATCATTTAATGTAAGAGAGGATAAAATAAACTATCCATCCACTAAGAAGCTCAGGGAGTCAAAGTTATGGGGGTGGAGGGCGTGATTTATAATTGGAACCTAATGCCATGTAGAGAGCATCCAGGGAAGAAATGAGCACACTAGATACTGGCTACCTTTGGGGTATATTCTGATCTACAAGGCCAGGTAGTAAATACCCTGCCTAAAATTGATCATGGCTATTCATATACCTGGGTCAGATTCTATTAATATTAAAGATGCTGCTTTTGCTGAAACCGGTTTGGCTCAGCGGTAGAGCATTGGTCTGCGGACTGAAAGGTCCCAGGTTCAATTCCGGTCAAGGTACCTTGGTTGTGGGCACATCCCCAGTAGGGGGTGTGCAAGAGGCAGCTGGTTGATGTTTCTCTCTCATCAACGTTTCTAGCTATCTCTCTCCCTTCCTCTCTGTAAAAAATCAATAAAATATGTTTAAAAAAAAAAAGATGCTGCTTTCATTGCACAGGTCAACTAAATCTTAGGTATCAAATTTTTGAGACCCAGAAAAACCTCAGGAATCACGACATGAAATATACTGAAAAGAATCCAGGAAGGAAACAAAACATTGAAATTCAGTTTAGAAATAGTCATACTGGTTTTGGTAACTGGTGCAAAATCTCCTCAAAAATAACTTAGACACATTGAAAAGATGCAAATGCTCCGAGAAATCCAAGAAAGCTCATTGTTTTGTCTGGGTTACAGTTGGGCTGGTCTTCCCCTTCTCCTGTATGCCTACCCTTCTAATCCCATGGTTGGCAAACTGCAGCTCACAAGCCACATGCAGCTCTTTGGCCCCTTGAGTGTGGCTCTTCCATAAAATACCACGGCCTGGGCGAGACTGTTTTGAAGAAGTGGCATTACAAGAAGTTTAAGCTTAAAAAATTTGGCTCTCAAAAGAAATTTCAATGGTTGTACTGTTGATATTTGGCTCTGTTGACTAATGAGTTTGCCGACCACAAACTATCTGTTACTGTGGCAGCTTTGGTTGAAAAGAGGTCTATGAAAATCTCTTGCGAACAACCTGACAGACACTAGAGCAGTTCTGCATTTTTTGCCTTAGTGCTAATTAGGGCAACACTGGCCCCACTGAACCCAATGCACACATTACCTCTCACTTTCCCTTACTTTTTAACTCAGGAAAATTAACTATGTTACTAAGTTTGTTTTGTACCCTTAATAAACTTGGCATAGCATCTCATGAACAAACACTTTCTGAATTTTCTCAACATAAACAATAGTTAACTGTCCTTGATTCCCTATACAATATTCCCTCTAGAGCTTCTGGGTTTTGTTTTCACACAGAGTTGACCTCAGATTAACAAACCTCTTGGATGCTGATCAGCAATATACAGACAATAGATGCATTGTCCCCTAGGGCTGGAAAGGGTATTTCTGAAGTCGCATGCTAATTATCATTACTGGATGACATTGACTATATTGGTTCAGATATGACCAATTAATGTTTTTATTCTTTCAAACCCTTGTTGTTTTTTTATGTGTATAATTTTTACCCTTGCCTAGACCTGGTTAACCGTTTCTGTGAGCAGGTCCTCAATTTTTTACTTTGTCCCTACTTTCCTGTCCTAGCCCCATCTTCCCCTGGTGTCGACTCCGTCCCCTTGCAGCGCACAGGCAGCCAGCATGGCCCACCGAATGCCGCCACGGCCACCTTCCAGCGGGCCAGCTACGCCGCAGGCCCAGCCTCCAATTACGCCGACCCCTACCGACAGCTGCAGTATTGTCCCTCTGTTGAGTCTCCATACAGCAAATCCGGCCCTACCCTCCCGCCCGAAGGCACCTTGGCCAGATCCCCGTCCATTGATAGCATTCAGAAAGATCCCAGGTGGGTACAAACCTTTTTCTTTGCCCTACTTATGTCCAAGAGGCTCTCTAACCAGTCATTGTATGTATGGCGTTATTTTTTCTTAAATCACGTTATTGCATGAAATGAAAGGGTTGAGTTTGGTTAGGTTTTATAATCTTTTGTCTGATTTGGAATGTGGGTATTGGTCATGGATCCCAAGTATCACTGCGGTTGGTTCAATAGCAAACAGTAGAGATGATCTTGGGATCAGGACATCGGTAGTTGCTTGAGGTTTCAGCTATTTGATAAGATCTAGAACAACTATCTCTTTAATGCTAAGGAAGCTGAGAATTGTGAATGATCTCAGTTGACCTCAGATATCACTGACTAGGTTTTTACTGTATCAATGGACTCATGCTTTGTCACTATGCAAGTCTCTCTCAGCGAGTGAAGTGGTCCATATACCAGGCTATATTAAAAATTAAAAACCTTAGAAAATCAATATAATCTTCATTTTTCTGTGTCTGAAAGTAAACATGATGTTGAAGTTGCCTGGGCATTGATAAAAAACATATTAAATAAATTGTTAGGTTGAGATATGTTTCTTTTTGGCTTTCTTTTTCAACATTGGCAAGGGATGTAGCGATGCTCTACTTCTGAAGTTGGAATTGAATTCCTGCAGAATTAAATGATGTTTTATTCATAGCCATTTGATGTATGCTGATAGAGTCCCATAAATATATATCTGCATCTGTGAATACTATCGACATGTCAGATTTCTGGTATTTCTGTAGAGCAGGGCATGTGACTTGACTCTGGTGGCATACTTGAAATTTGTCTCCAGGAATTTTCTCTGATGGAGCACACAGGTGCTTATGTACTGTGTCGAGGGATTTGCATGGAGTATTTGTAAAAAGAAATCACTTCTACAAAAATAAAGGTAGAATGGGACTATTTTATGATATTCTTTGAGATAGCTACTTCAGCACAATTGCACCCCTCTGGAGGGTACATGCTAAATATTATATTTGATAGCACCTCCATGGTAAAAGTGAGCTGGAATAAATGTTCACTTCACTGTTAACTACTAGAACTAAAAACATTTGCTTACGTTTACATTGTGCAGCATCTTGCATATTCAGGTTTTCAACCTCAACAGCAATCTCTACAGTATTAGTCTTGGAATTTGTCCCCAATCCTTATATGTTCTGGTTATGTATGGATAGAATACTCTTCAGATAACAACTCACTGAACTATTTTAAAATAAATTTTCTTTACATGCAACTGAAAACATATAGAATAACAGCAGACGCTAAGAAATGCTAAGTAGAATATAGAATTGGCATTGCTTTATTTAACGTTACATATTTAAATTGAGGATAAGTGTTTTATCTCCAATGGGGAAGTTTTAAATGTTCATATTAAGGGAATTTGGCTTAATAAGAAACCAAATTTATGTTTCTCTAGCTACAGATAAGCTTCTTTATTTTTTTGCTGCAAGCTAAATGCATTTTATTTTACTAAGTGGCATATCCTTTCCATTTTATATTAGTCCCTTGTATAGCTATTTTTCCTCTTTCAGTATATTGTCATGGCTCTTAGCTTTTCAAATTATGGATTATGTCACTTATAGTTATTGGGGGGCACTGTATAAACCAAAAAAGAGAAATACCAATAAGAAATGTTAGAATGAATAAGAGAATGTTGGCCACTATTCTATTGTATGAGTAAAATTTATATGCAGATTAGCATTATATGAATTGCAGATTCAGTATGTTATTTTCAAGAATGCTAATCATTAGCCTTAATGTGTTCACTTTGAAAAAGAAAATCATACCACCATTCTAAGTCCAGCTGCACAGGTGAAACAGACAAAACCAGATCTAGAACCAGAACTGTCTTATTGTGATTATTCACAAAAGGAACCAGTACCCTGGCATCATGCAAAAACGGATGGGGGATATAATACAATAAGGCCTTGCTTGTAGAGTTTCCTTAAAATAAAGGACTACAGTTAAGTGTTCAAATTTAATTGAGATACATCCCAAATCCAAAATTCAAGTCTAAAACCTAATGATATTTTTATGACAACTTTTTACATTATCCTTCAAATAATGAATTTTTATTTTCCCCAAGTGACTATTACTAGAACTAGTATATTTAACTTCTAGGGTTCACAGTTATTTATTTGGGCATTATTGCTTATGATTTAAGCTTTTTCCGTCTTCAGATTTCTTTCAGCTCTCCTGCATATGTTTTTAAAGAGTGTTTAAGTTTTATTTATCATTAAATACCAGGCCATTTAAGCCTCTGTGCTATTACAAACATGTCTCCATAGCACAATTTCAAAGCAGTTTTACATACATCTTTGATGTAATTCTCCTTTGTGGGGGGAAACTAATATCTCCATATGCCTCAAATAAAGGGAGAACTGGAGTGTAAATTACTTACGAAGATCACATTGCTGAGACGGGTATGCAGCTAAAATTCATTCTTATGGGTACTGTGCGTCATATTGGCATGAACATTTTTATTTCCTTATAAAAATAAAAAGGAAAAGGAAAGAATATACTCACATCTTTTATGACTATTTTGGAGGATGGTAGTACCAGGTATCTGTATGTAGGAGCTGAGAAGAATAAAGGAAAGGATGCAAATGGTCTGAGTAGATCTACTCTCTGATAATTGCTTATTGGATGTATGGTCTTTGTTTTACTTCTCCTTTCTTTTCTAATATCTGTCTTATTTCTCTTATGGCAGATGAGTGTCTTTTCACTATTAAAGAGTTTTAGTATTATTCAATGAGAGTTTTTCAGAGTGTGTGTTTTAAAATAAGAAATTAAAATTAAGATGCCCCAATTTGGTCATTAGACTTGAAACCAGAGACCTCCTACTAACTCTAAGCCTCAGGATATGAAAGGTTTGGTTCTGAAGGGTTGGGGTTTTCTAGCTTGCTTGCCTCAGTCATATAGATTTTTGTTGCAAAACTTTGGACTTTTCACTATTAACTGCCCCTTCTCTGTACTTCAACAAAGAATGTCCAGAAACTTTTTATATAGGAGACGGTAACGTCTAATTCTCTTTTTAAAGTCAGGATTACTTTGAAAATGTCTATAAATGTAAATTTTTCTTTACAGTTACATTTGTGAAGCTTTTATCTTCCATAAAATGTGAATCTCTTAAGAATTGTCACATAACTAATACATTTTTTGATGCTGTACCAAATATAGCATTGCATACTGTTGTTCTTAAGTTTATAGGTTAAATATAAATCTTCAAATCAAAATATATGCAAGAGGTGTCAATGATGTTGCAAGTGAGAAGACATAGCATTCTTATTTTGAAAATGTGATTAGTGAAATAATTGGAGAAAAATAAAGCAAGACTGGTATACCTGGTAGACTAATGGTCCTATAAATGTTCTCTATGGAAGAAGAAAAGTTTGGGTAGGACATTTATTGACGTAGCTTAACATATACGTAATAGCATCTTTTCATCATAGTTGATTAATATATTCTCAAGATATTGAATTTGTTCATGTGCACTCTCAAAAACAATTTTTCAAAAAAGCTTAATGAATCTAAATTATTGTAAACATATTTTATAGTAAAAATCTGTCTTATTTTTTTTTTTACTCAACATAATAGAGAAAGAAATACAAGGGCACATCTTTACTACTGAATGTGGTTCTATCAAATTTACACAACATGTTTTGTTTCAAGCTACATTTAAGATATTAATATTTTCTTCATTATTGGATATTATTAAATATTATAAAATAATACTGCTTATAAATACCTTATCATTAGGTAAATCTGTGTTAAGAACATTTCCACATATTCTTTCTTCATTGTTTGACTACTCAATTAAATCAGCAGCCGTCATGAGCCCTATGTGAGATGCCCAAATAAGCAGAGGTGTCATCATCAACCACCATGTTGGAGCTTCCAATGAAAAACATGGTGTCATCTAAAATGTGAACCCAGTGAGAGGGCCAGTGCCAAACCATGGAGTAAATATGACAATTTTCTTCAGGTAAATGAATGAGTGGAAATTCGAATGTTCTCCTTCCCACCCCACCCCCATGGTGATCTTGGTGCAGCCCTGCTGTGCAAACTCTCACCCTCCAGGGGAACAGAGGATACCTGGACTTGGAGAGTGTCCAGTTTATGCTGAAAAGAGTTCTTAGCAAATGTTGATTCTGTCCAGGATGCTCCTCTGCTCTGCCCTCAAAGTGCCTGTATAAAATGGGCATCATAATAATAGTCTTTTCCTTATAAAGTCATTGTGAAAATGCAGTAGTTTAAGTCTTTGGGCTATTTCCTTGCACAGAAAGATCCAATTGTTAGCTGAGATTCCTACCATGACTTCCTGCTGCACCAAGCATTCCTGCCATCAGGAGTACCTGCAGACAGAGTCAGGCTGAGAAAGGCACTTGGAGTCAGAGACATGGAAGAAATTGGAGAAGGCAGAGGAACTGGAAGCTATCTAGTTGGAAAAACAAAGGCCCAGGAGCAGACCCCGGGCAATGCCTTGCTGGGAGGCCAGTTGTGAGAGGTTTTATCCCACAGCACAGGGGGGAGGGAAGACTGAGAGCTTGGGCCTCACAGCCAAGAAACGGAATTAGAAGATGGAATATTAAATATATATATATGTGCCACATAGATTATATATGTGTATATACATAGATTGTATATGTATGATACATTAATTATATATATGTATTATACCGTGTGTGTGTGTGTGTGTATATATATATCTCTATCTATATATTTATATGCTTAGAGTATGTGTTTGCATGTATATGCACATAAACAATCTACCTACTTGTTTATTGGCTTTGCACATATTTATATAGAGATAAGACCTATAAAACTTGCATAAGCACACTGTGATTAAGTTGGCAAAAGACACAATAACAAGTATTGATTTTTCTTCTGGCCTGTTAATCAGTCTGGCCTCTCAACTCTTATGCTTTGCTTTTATTTTGTCTGACCACTTAAAAATAAGTCATTCTAAAGTTTTCAGTCTTTAAATC